CGAAGACGGCGGCGCTGCCCGGGCTGAGGCCGCCGCGCCCGAACAGCGGCTGCGGCCGCTCCGTCTCGCCGCGCCGCGTGTCCTCGTCGGACGAGGACGCGGACGACGGCGACATGGGCAGCAGCTCCACGTCCGAGTCGGGGTCGAGGCGGTGGATGCCCGACGGCCCCGGCACCGCCGCGCTCAGCAGGTCCGGCCCCGCCGCCTTCCGCGCCGACGACGGCCCCGCCGGCTCAGGCTCCTCCTGTACATGTTGTGCTTTGCGCTCAAGGGGAGTATCGCTTGATTATTTGAGTAGTAATTCCGCGTGCTCAAACCAAGTCTTTAGTTCCGGAAGAGCACTGCATGTTTTATCGCTCGCGATGATCTTCCTTGGCTGGATGGCGAGGTCCGGCGCCGACCTAACCGTCGGCTTGCAGGTTTTGCCCAAACAGGTATCTCCCATCAGCGGGGCACCGCCCCCGCCGGAACAAACTATATGTTCCCGACCGTTCTCCAGGCACGTGTGTTAGTGTAGTGCATGTGAGTGTTAGGTGTGTAAGTAAGAGGTGAGGAGAAGATAAGGAAGAGGAAGGAAAGATCACGCGCGGCGCTTGGCCCTTTTGTTAGGCTGCTCCGGTATTCGCCTGGTGTTGATCCGAAAAACCACAGAAAACTTCTGATCAGGGCAACCGACCCTCCAGGCGGCGACTGAACTGTCCAGCGAATGTAGAAAATTCTGCAACCGACGGAGCACACATTACGATATCCTGATTAGAGTCGCTGCAGTGGTATATATGTCAGATAATGCTTTGCAAGATTAAATATACCGAGTTGGGATGTCGTGATTTATGAAAAAATAACCATGAGTCTGCGCAATGCATTATCTTCAAAGTATTTTCTACGTTTATGCCAAAATACATTTGCAATCATCAAATCACCTCACACTTGAACAATTTTACTATTTTCGCTGGCGCCCAATGGCCAATGAAAATATTAATCGATGTTTGAAATGATTCTTCTTCCTTATTAATATGTTTTAAACATATCGTCCAGCTCAGTAAGAATTGCTATATACTAATTACCAAATTACAATATTTTTGAAATATGTCGTAACATATAAATCAGGAAACCGTTTGGTGAAGATAATTTCGTGAAAGAATCGCCCTCGGGGAAAGGTTACTTTGTCATGAAGCTACTATCTGTAATATTGACACAGTTATCAAAGACATACGTAAGCAGATATGAAAATAAAAATATTATTAGAAGCTTGTTGCCTTTGGTCAGTTGTAAGCGGATGATGTCTGAAAGTCAGTAATTAAACGACACCAGAGAAAGCTCTGACTACATATCTGTTCTATTTTATTTGTAAGTTACGTTTCTCAAACGAGTTTGTTCTTTGTTACAGTTATGCAACCCAAAGTGATTTCGAAGTGCAGAAACCTCCCGCAACCCAGCCAACCTAATCTAGATTAAGTTAGTTGTGAGAACCAGACTCATTTTAAAAGAAAATTGAAATATGGAATGGAGTATTTTAAAGAACTTTCTCAAATGCATTAGTTCATTTTTTAAAATGATTTTTCAATTCTTGATTTAACTGACACATTTAACATAAATTTAGTTACCTTTGCCAAGAATTCAAAAATAATATGAACTTCATTTGTCAACGAAAATTAGATTTTACTGATTTTTCATCCTTGGTCTCTTCGGTCTGAATGATTTTCTATTTATGTATAACAGGAAAATACCATAGGTTTTTATAATAATGAAATTTATACTTTCGTGCTACCACTACTGCGGTACAGAAATAAGTATGTAATACCGCGCGAAGCTAGTGGCGTTAAAACAGCACGTACGTTCTGCACGCATTTTCGCGAAAATTGCTCAAATTTTCGAAAATTTCGGTTTCAAGTTCAAGTGCCCGCGACATCAGTATGATCGGCTGGGGAATATCAATTTTGGAAAAATCGGTTGGACGATTTATCCGCTAGCATTTTTCAAAGACGGACGAACAGACGGATATCTTTTAGAATTACAACAGCGCACTTCCCAAAGGGTTAAATTATGCGTTTCTTAGCCCACGACTTGTCCCCCACTATGTGGACGTTAGCACTAGTAATTGTGTAAGTAAGAGAAAAGAAGGGGAGAATGGAGAGGAACGAAACATATCGCTCGTGGCTCATTTGTTAAGGAGTTGCTCCTGGATTCTTGTGGTATCGATCGTAGAAACCCAAGAAAACTATTGATCAGAGCAAGTAGGTGCTAGAATTCTCGTTCAGATAGCGGCTGAATTTAACCTAGCTATTTAGCGAAAGTCTAAAATTTATCCACCATGAGGAATCAAACTCTAGGACCTCAGGATGAAAGGTGATGCAGAGGCAACTAGCATATTCCTCCTTTGCAGGGGAAGGGAATAACAAGTTTAATTGTCAAATTTGCGGCTTCTAAAAAACTTGCAAAATGACGCCTCTCTTAAAGTCAGTTATGAAATTCTCCGAAATTTCAAGCCCGTTCGTCCTTAGACGGCGTTTTTGCATTAGACCTGCTCTGTATCCGTCAAGTTATACTGTTGGAACTGGCTCATCAGCATCTGTCGGGGCCAAGGGCGATTAGCGGCCTCCCGGCACACTATCTACCCCGACCGGGACTCGCCGGGGTGGCGTCATGGAAAGCGAGCACGCTGACCTGTGTTCTGCCCGAGGGGGAGTCACGTTATAGAGTCATTATATATTTTGTTAAGTACCGTATGATAGTACCGTAACAATATTCTACTAACAAAGTGAAACATTTTGGTAGTTAATTAACATGCAATTAGCCACACGCTTAGGTGTCTACAGACAAGTAATGGTGTCGTTTCGGCGTGTCTCACTGCGAGGTCCCTAGTGTTTGAGGCCAAATTCTAACAGAATATTTGCTGTCTGGAAGAGAATTCCAGTGGCCGGCCGCAGTGATCGCTAGTTTTCCATGGTTTCTCCGATCAACACCAGGTGAATGCTGGAGCAGTGCCCTAACAAGCATGACTCGGAACGCGCGCGTTCCTTCCTTCTTCTTCCTTGTTCTATCCTCATCGCTTACTTATACACACTTACTCTCACCGAGACTAACCCTAATCTACAACCTATAGCGGAGGACCAGTCGGGAGATTAGAACTTGTTCTGGGTTCGGCAGTGATCATCTGGTGAGATATA